TTTTTTTTTTTTTTTTTTTTTTTTTCAGGATGTTTTGAGGGCCCTTTCTTGTAACGTCCACTCGAAAAAGGGGAAATCCTGTATATTCGAAAAAATAATAAATAATAATATTTTGAAACAAATACGTAGACATCATTAAATTATGCAATGAACTTAATGTGATCTGTCAATGTTGTTATATGATCGTAATAATGATACAAAGATACAATATAAAACTAAATGTAAAAATAACATCAATATCCCAGGCCAAGTACTCACAAAAAATGTGTATATATTGACTACAAGAAATTTAATATTAATAGTTTGTAAAACTGCCATGATTCTTACTAAAACGGAATATGCAAAACAGTGATTGCAGTCTTCCAGGGGTGCTTCACAACATTTTGTTGTACCTCTTAATACTAAATCGATCTTTCTTATTTAATATATGCCCAGTATTGACTCTTGCCAGTATAATATTGACATCTTTTGTATGTGGTGAATTTTTAAATACGGATGTGGACCTGTCGGATATCAGTTTTTGATAAAACCATATTTCTGTTGATTTCTATTGACGTCATTGCACAGCAAAGCGGTTATTAGAGGGAATATTTTTGTGCTCCATGCTGAACATGAAAGAGATCATTGTAAAAATCGAACTAAATGAACACCTGTAGCTTATCGATCAAGTGAGTCGCTAGGGAGTTTAAGTGCATTCCAAGTGGAAATTTATCGAATGGCATTTGAACAATATTCAAACTGCACTTTGACAGCATTATAAATATTCTCACGGCATTCTAACAGCATTTGAAATATCCTGATCACATTAGAGCGAGATCGGAACTGGCAAGTCACTTAGCACGTAGCCAGAGACAGGGCCAAATGGAAAGAATGACTGTGGCCTTATGTCCCACACGGGACGAAGAGCTCTGATGATGATGATGAAGTCACTTAAAAGTCCGCCAGAATGTTTCGAATGTGCCATTGATGAGCTGGAATGCAACTCGAATGCGTCTCGATTGCTGCCGAAATCTATTTCCATTATTAAAAAAATTAGGCTCTAACACACTTCAAATGCATCTCAAGATCGACAGTGTGAAAGTGCCAATTAGTCGTGAAGTGAGTGATGAAATTAATTAGAGCACAACCGAACTGTATAAAACACGACTTGCTGCTGCTGGAACGTCAGTCGTAACAGAAAAATCGCCTGGTCACTCAACATTACGCCAAGAAAGAAGGGAGGAAAGGTGAAAAAGTCCGCAACTGGACGCGGCCATCTATCCTTGGCCCTACTCTCTGCACTAACTCATTAAACATGTCAGGCTCCATTCTGAGGTAGTTGAAGAAAGACTGTGGGTCTTCTACTCTAAGCTCCGCCATCAATCATGTGTCATGTCCATACAGCCTTCTCCTGTCCTCTGCCATCCATGGTCGAGTCTGATATCTCCTGCGTCTTCTCCTTTTGTTTCTTTACCTGGCCTCCACATCTCTTTCAAGCAGGTCTTGCTGGAGAACAGTAATTTACAGCAGAGCAACATGGCCCACGTTGTCCATTGTATATGGTTGCGGGGATGAGACTGATTAATATGCTACATTCCTCAGCATAATATACCCTATCAATCACCATTTCAGTGGCGTTCTTTATACACTCTAGCCATTTGTGTTACATTCTTAACATATTCGAAAGTAATTTCAGTATTTCAGATGCATTCTGTTTGAATTCTTTATATTTCAAACCATCATTGGCAGCCATACCGGGAGCATTTATAATGCATTTGAGTACGCTTCGTATATCATTCGAGGCACCTTCTTACATACTTCAGCCTGTGTTCGGGCAGCAGTCAAACCACACTCGTACAGCATTTGAATTTAATTATAAATATTCTGAATGCATTCTAACAACATTCGCAATATCCCTACAGTATTCCAACTACATTCGAGCTGCATTTGAGAGGTAATATACGTGGAATGTGAAAGAATCATTCCAGGCGGGTTCGATGTGCATTCTTAGTATTCCAGAGGCATTCTTACAAAGCCGTAATATGTATAATTTAAAATTCCCTCCCGAATATGGTACGAATTTTTAAATTTAGTAATTCCGGCTTGACTCCTATTTAATTCGAATAAGTTTGACGGGGGCTTTAAGTCACTTGTCAGTTCGAATATTCCTCTAACGTGATCAGATGTTTCGAATGCTGTCGGAATGCCGTGAGAATATTTAGAATGCAGTCATAGTGCAGTTAGAATACTGTTCAAATGCCATTCGATAAATTTCCACTTGGAATGCGCTTCGAACGTTTTTGACATGACAAAAACATTCGGGATGCCATAAGAATGGGTAAAATAATAAGAATGCACTCGGGATTTTTAGAATGCTCTTCGAATGTCCAGGAGCTCACAAAGAATTGTGTTTCCGACGGCATTCTTGCTCATTCCGCCTCTAGTGTGACGGGGGTATTAGCTGGCATTTCGAGAGATGCCACTCAGAAGTAATCACTGGATTTTTCTGTTGATCTGACGGTTACCAAGTGCCGTGCAAAATAATCCTGCAGCGTTACCTGTCAAAAGCTCTTATTAACACAAGTGACGACCACTTGCTCTCGACAGACAGTTTCATCCGATCATTTTGCCGATAACAGAGAAGGAATCTCCCATGTAAAATTACTCGATTGCCGAGAAAGACCCATTGAACCGTTCAAATGCAATTTCACACCTCTTAATTGTGGTTAAACGTAATCGCCTTTGTTAGCGCTTCCTTCTACATATCCTTGACACCCTACTGGGCATCACTATAGGCTGAGGCCCTCTCCAGAGCTTTCAATCAAAATGGCGGCACGCTTACAAGTCTAAAGCGTGATCGGAAATGTAACAAAAGCACGATTTTCTGCCCTTTCAAAGCACCCAAACAAAATATTTTTAGATGACAATGAGCAATGGTTCCATCTGATCGTATAACCGATAACAGGTAAATTTGCCAGCTAAGCATTTGACATATAAGCTCTGTTAACCATTCTGTGAACATTTTTGGCTGTTTTAACAGCTAAATCGCTGTCAAGTATATTGAAATATGGGGTAATTTAACGTAAAAGATGATAAAATCAAAAGTAAATAGTTTAAGACAATTCCCTGGGTCGTTTCAATCACTTGAATAGCTGTCTTGGTTATAGAGAAAATCCCAGCTCCGAAAACGACATTTTTCGCCCGAAATTGGCGCTATAGCGTCATCTGTTGGACACTGCACTTGATCTTTGTCTTTTATAGGCCTTTTAGGAAGTATGTTTTAATTTTTTATAAAAAAACTTTAAATCCAGGATATTGTTTCTATGCTTTTAGTCGTTTTACTATTTGTGCCCTTAAGAGACTGTCTGATATTTTGCCAGAAGGAAGAGACTTTATGTGATTTTATAGACTGAGCATATCTTTCTAATGTGGTTCTTTAGAAAGGCATTTTACCTGATATTAACACGGGTTTCTGGATTAAAATTCAATTCGATGGATTTTTTATTTTATCATGGCCAGAAATGTGCAGCATTTACGCGATACGCGAGGGCGCAACAGTAGGGCTTCACGTGACTCAACTAACCAATTACAGCACAAGAATGGCATCGCACACAGACTCTTTGATAAGTGCTCAGCCCATTGTCAAGTAGTGTTAGTTCATGGTAACAAGCGTCTGATATGTGCAGAGAAGTTTATTATTATAATATATATTGTTCTTATTGTTACATTATTAAATCTAACTCTGTATCCAAGTAGTAACTATACTGTACCAAGTCAGGTACTGATGATGTACAGAGGTCACATATTCCAGAATAAGCCATTGCCACTGATTTATAACTTTCATTTTGTTTAATATGTTATTCATTAAAGAGTTCATGAAAGATTATTTTAATTTGTTAAATCGTGATCTTATTCTTTTTATATTCAAATAATTGAATATTGTGGGTAAAATTGGTCTTCCACTTCTTATTTGCATTTTTCCTTTACTACAAGATTATTTTGGAACAGTTGCAGCATTAAAAATTTAAATAAATAGCAATCTTAAAGAAGAATTTTGCATAAATGTTAAATGATGATAGGAATTTTGGATTAAGAGATTAGTTAAATACTGAGTAGTGATATGGTCAGTCAATTTATGTAGAATCTGATAATATGATTGAAAATACTGATTGAATTCTTAGCCCTGCACTGGGCAGTTTTACATTTGTGCCAAGTGCTCTTTTTGGACTCCATTGTACAGTGGTAAAAAATCTTCAATTGCCATGAAATTTTTTTAATCAGACTCTGTATGTTACTGCTATCAGCTGGTGCTATCGGCAACGAATTAATTTCCCTTTGTTTCTGAGTGAATCTACCGTCTAAAATCACTATTACTGAAAATATTTGCGTTTTGCTGAGGGTAGTCTAGGCAATATACGGCAAACTTCTTAGTACGTGTGTACAACAGATTTTTTTTAAAAAACCCTAGCGAAATTTGGTCAGGAGTTGCTTGAAGCATAGCACAGCGTTGCTGTCTATCGGCATCAGACCGTAAGTTTGTCAATTCTCACGAATTACCCACGAATCGCGAACCCATTCATTTTCCTATGGCAATCTAGCAACTCATTAAAAATGCACGCATGCGCAGTGGGCTAGGCGTGACGTCATGCAGTGCATTTCTGGGGATGTTTGTAACTGAAATAATCATGAATCTATATTATAATGGTGGAAAAATGCCTTAACTCCAGGAATAAGGTGGACAGTTTCATATGACTGGCAAGAATCTTCTGAATTGATAAATGTTGGGCAAACGTTGGCCAAAAAACGTTAAGTCGACCGTTGGCCAAGGTGAGCTTTAGATTGAAACCAAAGGCAACGTTGGGCCAACGTTGAACAACGTTTGCATGCTATCTGGGATAGAATCCATTATGCACACTAATACATTTGTAACTAAAAAAACATGTTTCCTGCGGCAGTTGAAATTAATGTGAAGCATATGATAAAGTAATCCTGTTCAGACAAAATCTTCTTACAGAGTCACCTTTCTACTACTCCATCAGACCATGTATCTACTCCACCAGGCTGTGTTGAATGGTGATACTGGCGAGGTGAGACGACTGCTGTGGGATGGGAGATATGATGTCAACTACAAGGAGTCTGCGGTGCGTACTGTTTCTCCTTTTCCCTACATCTATCATAAGGATGCTTTAATAAATACTTTTTTACTTCTATAAACCTTAATTAATGTCCCTTCTTTGCACAAGACCCGCAAATGATCATTTAACGGGAACAAGCTTCCTGGCTCAAATTTAAAAAGCATTCTTTTTTTTTTCTTTTTATTCTTTCATTTTGTGTTTTATTCTTTCCTTCAAGGCCTCGGTCACAACCTGGCGCACGAATTTCAGGGTTATTCCCTTTGAGTTGTAGGTGCATTGGAGGGCGTGGAAGGCGGATGACGCACTCCCGCACTGCTTTTGATTAAGTTTGGAAGTTGTGAGGGCGTGCGCCGTACTCAACACCCAGGCGGCACTTGCTCCTTCATTGCTTGCTATGTGCGTCTAAGATCACATTTTTCTTCACATGGTACTTTTAAAAAATAACACGTCTCGTTTGCAAACTCCTTGCAAACTCCTTGCTAGGGGAGCAAATTATCCTAATATTTTTTCTCCATACGCTGTCTGCAATCTCGAAATCTCAAAAGAAGGATTTACGCGGCTCTTGAGATTTTGCACAAAATTTGGACACAAACAGGCCCGTAAGTTGTGACCGAGGCTTGATTCATTTCCTCATTGTTATTTTGATAATCGCTGTGATAGTAGGGTTTGTACCATTCATATGCAAACGAACCCTGTGGTCAAAGCGGACCTCTCCTTGTGACTGTTACGGGGTTTTCGTGGAAGAATTTGTGGTATTTATGTCCTAAATACTAACGAACTATACATGCACCTACAAGTTTTATCACCCTGTGCGGAACCTTGGTAGGCTACATGTATACCTATATTCTTATTAACAACCGTGTCCTGTGGGTAATTACACCACAACAAATGATACATTAAAGGTTTATTCTCATTTGTAATCCATTAATTGACATGTATTTTTAATTCACATATAGACAAAATGATATATAATAATGAATTACTTTGTATTAAATTTACTATCCCGTAGAGACAAGTTTCGTCATTGGTCATCTAGTCAACACTATAATGACAGCGTAATCTTCAGATTAAGTATTTATACGGTAATACTATAGTAACATCCCTTAGTTTCAGGGGCCTCCAAAATCGTATGCAAAACTAAAGTAAAGGCGATACAAAAATACTGTAAACTACTACTAGAGGATCCTTTGGTCAGACAATGTTTACTCTGTGTGTGAACATGGCAGAAACAAGAATGAATGTCCTTTTAATAATTTACAAATAAATAAAATGAACTTAATGCTGAACTGAACTAACATGGAAAAATTTAAATGAACAACATTAATGAAATAAAAATATTGAATAAATTTCTAAACTAAATAAGTATGAAAATAAATGATAAGCACTGAAATTATCAAACAAAATAACTTAGAAAAATACAAAATCTTAACACAAAGAAAATGAAAAGCAAACCAATCAAGTCTATCAAACCTGTGTGTGAACATGGCAGAAACAAGAATGAATGTGCCGCGTAACAAAGAGGGGCGTATTTTATATAGAAACGAAGACACACGGACACAAACGAAAAGTCACGAACACACTTCTCTACAACCACAATCATACATCATACATACACATGTTACAAATATTTAATTTTTCAAAGATTTCTAAAATGTGAGATAATATGATTATAGTCTAGTAAATAAATCTAATTATGATATGTTATTGTTTTGATTTCACCAGAATGGATGGAGTCCTCTGCACCTAGCAGCGCTGAAAGGCAATGCAGATATGGTGAAACTATTCCTGGACAGCGGGGCTGAAGTTAATGCGGAAGACTCGGTAAGACGCATGGATGTGATTTAAGCGCCCATTTTCGTTCGTGCAATATTTATGTATACATATATGTATAGCTATTAATATTAATATTGATATTCACATTTACATTCAAAACACCGATAGTAACCCTCAGCCTGATTCCTTATTACTGCCACATAATCTGCATTTTGATAAAGAGATAATGCGTTAAAACTAGTATTCGAATTAGCATACTTATTTTTTCAATCATTTTTTATGACATATTATATCCAGTTTATTTTACCTCTCTGATGTTATTTTTGTTTCAGCGCTATAGACATCAAATATACAAATAAATTGTGAGGAGAGATGACATGATATGACATGATATGAAATTATATCATTATGCTGATCATTTGTTGTTACCAGGGTGGCTGGACTCCTTTACATGGGGCAGCGTATGGAGGTCATAAAAGCATCGTAAAGCTTCTCCTGGAGCGTGGAGCTGATCCTAATATTACGGATAAGGTTTGTGCTACAAAATGTTATATACAAAAAATGCACTAGAGTAAGTTGGTTGGTTTAACACATTTGGTATACTTCAACGTTTTATTTTGATGGATGCTGTTTCACTTTATTCTTATTTGGGTAAATTAATAAATTTAATGCAATGTAAATAAAGACAGCATAGGACAGGACATCACATGCAAAAAACCAAGTACACATTATTTCCTCTATATGTAGGATTTCCCATTTCTTGGATTAATTGGTAATGTGTGTACCTTTTTTAAAATTTCATCTCGATGTTAATTTTAGTACATAAAATATATGAATAAAATGTAGAGAAATACAACATGATATGATATAATTATGCTGATCATTTATTGTTACCAGGATGGCAGAACTCCTTTAATTGATTTTCTTTTCTTGTTGTTTTCTTGTTAGTATTACTTCTGCATCACTTATGTAAACATATAAATATGTCAAGTCCTTGTGTCGCAACCTGTTTGAAAAAAATCTAAAAAACAAACATATATTACTGTGACAAAACAGTGTAAACTTCCTTGATTTGTAGGATAAACTAAGACCACATGACTTGGCTGTAAAAACGAAACATGAATGCATAATGATAATGCTGCAGAGATTTACTTCGCCGTTGATTCAGGTTAGTTTTGTCGAATGACGTAATTATTACTCACTTAAAATTAGGAAGAAACCTATATGTTATTCAAATTTCTATTATGTATGATAATTAGGTTGGCACAATCGATTTTTTTCTGGTTGTCATAACACTCATTCAACCTCTAAGAGTTATGGGTCAATGTTGATTATTTCAGACTCATCTTCTCCAAAAATTAATTGCTACAATAAGTGACCAAGTGTCTGTGAGACGTATCCGGTTCCTGGGACGTAGGCTGGGAGTACCGGACNGGTTATCTTTCCGTCGCCAGTATGCTATTCCAATCAAGATGCCAGTTCAGAAAAAAAAAATAGTAAATAATCTCTTGTACAAGCTGATTAATTTCCCTTCTACCTCCTGAATATTGCTATTTATAAAATATATCCCATAGTGTAAATACGTAGCTTGTATCCCAATGATGGAGATGTGATTGTAAATCCTTCTGTAAATAAAACTACCTTGTCAATAAACAAATATCGCCATTCATTTTGAAACAAATTTCAGTGCAAGCATACTATTACCTATAAGATAAGACGCGACAAAAAATCAAAACAGACAAGATAAGATTTTCAAAAACAAAGACAATGATGTCATAGAAAATTTAAATACATCAGAAAAAAATAATAAAAAGACTTTAAAAAGAAAACAATAAAAAAGCATTCGTAGCCATAGGTACCCCCAAAAAATGATGCAAACAAATAGACAAAGAAACAAATAAACAAACAAACAATCCACCCACATTCAAAACACCGATAGTAACCCTCAGCCCGATTTCTTATTACTGCCACATAATCTGCATTATGATAAAGAGATGATGCGTTAAAACTAGTATTCGAATTAGCATACTTATTTTTTCAATCATTTTTTATGACATATATCCAGTTTATTTTACCTCTCTGATGTTATTTTTGTTTCAGCGCTATAGACATCAAATAAACAAATAAATTGTGAGGAGAGATGACATGATATGATATGATATGAAATTATATCATTATGCTGATCATTTGTTGTTACCAGGGTGGCTGGACTCCTTTACATGGGGCAGCGTATGGAGGTCATAAAAGCATCGTAAAGCTTCTCCTGGAGCGTGGAGCTGATCCTAATATTACGGATAAGGTTTGTGCTACAAAATGTTATATACAAAAAATGCACTAGAGTAAGTTGGTTGGTTTAACACATTTGGTATACTTCAACGTTTTATTTTGATGGATTCTGTTTCACTTTATTCTTATTTGGGTAAATTAATAAATTTAATGCAATGTAAATAAAGACAGCATGGGACAGGACATCACATGCAAAAAACCAAGTACACATTATTACCTCTATATGTAGGATTTCCCATTTCTTGGATTAATTGGTAATGTGTGTACCTTTTTTAAAATTTCATCTCGATGTTAATTTTAGTACATAAAATATATGAATAAAATGTAGAGAAATACAACATGATATGATATAATTATGCTGATCATTTATTGTTACCAGGATGGCAGAACTCCTTTAATTGATTTTCTTTTCTTGTTGTTTTCTTGTAAGTATTACTTCTGCATCACTTATGTAAACATATAAATATGTCAAGTCCTTGTGTCGCAACCTGTTTGAAAAAAATCTAAAAAACAAACATATATTACTGTGACAAAACAGTGTAAACTTCCTTGATTTGTAGGATAAACTAAGACCACATGACTTGGCTGTAAAAACGAAACATGAATGCATAATGATAATGCTGCAGAGATTTACTTCGCCGTTGATTCAGGTTAGTTTTGTCGAATGACGTAATTATTACTCACTTAAAATTAGGAAGAAACCTATATGTTATTCAAATTTCTATTATGTATGATAATTAGGTTGGCACAATCGATTTTTTTCTGGTTGTCATTACACTCATTCAACCTCTAAGAGTTCTGGGTCAATGTTGATTATTTCAGACTCATCTTCTCCAAAAATTAATTGCTACAATAAGTGACCAAGTATCTGTGAGACGTATCCGGTTCCTGGGACGTAGGCTGGGAGTACCGGACAGCAAGCTGGACAACATAAGGTCTCAGAATCCAAACAATGCACAGGAGGAATCATTCCAGATTCTGAGGGAGTGGATGAAAAGGTCAGCAGGGGCGACAGTCCATAACCTGTTCAAGGCTCTGAAGGACCATCAGTTGAACGCATGTCTTGGTTAGTAATTCTGACATCTCAATCTCGGTTCTGTTTGGATGGACTTGGTCAGAAATGTTTGTTTTTTTATTTTATTTTTGAACATTTTGATAAATATAACCATTTGAGAAAAAGTTGAAATATATTTTGTTTTATCTTTTATCTCTCTTGCGCATCAATTATAAGTGTATTATAAAACTATGACTCTTGAAACTTATTAAATGGTTTTATTTAAATTTACAGACCATGTCAAGAATGAATATCTTACCCTAAGTAAAGAAATATTGGCCAAGTCGGATGATGAGTTCAGCACGTTTTGTGCTTCTCTCGAGTATACAGATGGTATCACATTATCTGCTATGAAGAAGATAAATATGGGATGTTACGTCTCTGATGACATGAGATATATGGGTTTGCCCCTTACAAGGTACAACGCCAATTCCAAAGAGCGCATGGCCTTGTACCGCCTTGAATGGAATGGCAACTACGAGATTCCGGCTTCGTACGCACGGAGGGCTGTCGTTAGTTGACCTTGTGTTTTTGATATGACAGAGGGTCGGCAAGTTATCGGCGTGTTACTTCTAATATGTGTTGAATTATTACTTCTACGTTGATCGCGTTGAATTATTTGAATTATTGACTTGTGTAAAACGTGCCACTGCTTGACAGTATTATTACAAACATATATTTTACTGTTTTTTTACAAATTATAAACAATACATTGCATATAATTACCATTTAGCCTACACACACTGGACAATAGAAGTGTCACCTCTACTAAATCAATATTTTGTAGGAGATAAAAGACTGTGGAATGATATGCTCCTGGTGTCATTTCATTAACATCAAAATTTACAAAAAAAAAAAAAAAAAAAAAAATTAGAACAAAACATACATTCTACCAAGATATGCAGTTTCAAGTCCAAAATTAGTAGTTAGTGGCATAGCCATGTGACCCTATAAAAGCTGCCAGTCTACGAGGCAAGGATTCATGTAATTGTCTGATGCGTTCAGGGCTTATGCTGGCCCAAGCATGAAACACTGAATATAACAGAGTGTGTCTGCTGGTTGGACTGGCATTTGTCAAATTTCTGGCATATCATTCCATACATTTTCTATAATGTTTGCATCCGGACTCTGGGCAGGCCACATCATAATAGCTTTTTCTTCTACAACCGGAGCCTAAATATATTGTAAACATTGTACCTGACAATGTCAAGAAATTGCTTTGTAAGTTCAAAATTATCAGAAACTGTAGAGGAAGTCAAGGAGGTGTTGAACGAAATAGAAGGATAAACTATGTATCAAGTAGAAGAATAACATCTAGAACCAGTAGAAATGGGAATGATGATTATCAAAGTGGTGTAAACTTTCTGAACTTAAAGTATGTGATAACTGAAAGATCTGCACAGGTACCCACAGTCAAGTTGGCACTTATGAACTGTAGATCAGTGAGGAATAAGGGGTCTATCATACGTGACTTGGTGAAGGATGACAATATTGATTTAGTTTCCTTAGTGGAAACCTGGATAACACCCGATCTTCAACATCATATGCAAGCCGATATCACCCCAACCGTTACCAGTGTATTCATATACCCCGCATGTCTCGGAGAGGGGGTGGAGTTGCTTTTCTTTCACAGGACAGTTTCACAGTAACACAACAGCCAAAAAGGATTGGTCCATTGTCTTTTGAGTACATTGAGGTTTTAGTTACAGCTATATCAGTGACAATGCATATCATTACAGTATACAGAATACCACCATGTTTTATTCCTTAGTGAGTTTTCTGATCTCCTTGAGTACCTAGCACCTCTTCGAGGGAAACTTCTTATCGCCGGCGACTTGAACATATACTGGGGTGATCAACACATTTCTGAAACCAAGCAGTTTACTTCATTAATTGATTCATTTGGACTTACACAGTACGTGTTAGATCCCACCCATGTTCGTGGCCGTACGCTTGATATGGTATTGGCTAGGGAAAGTGATACACTTGTAACATCATGTGAGGTAGGGCATTTACTTTCTGACCATCATGTTATCAACACCACCCTTAGATGTGACAGACCGCACCCCAGTAAGGAGAAAGTTTCGTTCAGAAAAATCAAGAGCATTGATGTGAATGCATTACAACGACATGTGACACCATAGGAATTTGTGCTTCTGTATGACAGGACATTAACAACTGCACTTGACAACCTTGCATCTGTCAAAACTAAAACATTTGTTAAGAAAGATCTGCAACCTTGGATGACTGATCACATTCTGGAGGCAAAGCGAGATAGAAGGAAGGCGGAAGGGAGGTGGCGAAGTAGTAAATTAACTGCCCATCATCAGATCTATAAAGAAGCATGTTGCCATGTAAACATATTATTCAAACATGATACAAGAATGTAATGGTGATACCAAAGCTTTATTTAGAACTGTCAACACTTTTCTGGGAAAAACCAATTGCTCTAAGTACCCCAAAACAGATTCAGTGAAAGATCTAGCAAACAACATGAGTGACTTTTTTGTGTCTAAAGTCAGTAATATAAACGCTTAACTTTCTGAATTAGAAAATACTGTGACTATGTCATCGCATCCACCTTTGTCAGAACTTTTACAAGAAACGCAGTCACTCATCACTATGTTTGAACCAACAACCACTTGTGAAGTAACACAAATAATAAACAGTTCCAGAAAGACATCATGCATGTTAGGCACGATCCCATCATCATTATTAGTTCAGATTCTTCCGGCTGTAATAAATTTGATTGTGGAAATTATCAACAAATGTTTCACTGTGGGTGTTTTTCCAAAAAAAGTTTAAATCTGCAATAATTCGACCACTACTCAAATAGGACAAACTTGACACAGATATTTTTGGTAAACTATCGTCCGGTTTCCAATTTGTCATTTTTATCCGAGGTAGTAGAGAGGGTTATAGCAGTTAGACTATTTAAAAGCATTTAGAAGCAAACAATCTTGTTAAAGAGATGCAGTCAGCCTACACATTTAATTTTGAGAATTAAAAATGATTTGCTAAGAGGCGTAGACAACATTCTGCTATGTTATTGGTACTGTTAGATTTGTCTGCGGCCTTCAATACAGTAGACCATAATATTTTATTGACATTTCTAGAGCAGAGTGTAGGAGTTAAAGATAAGGCCTTGGATCTTTTAAGATCCTATCTTGTTGGGAGAATGCATCAAGTTAATATAACTGGCGTGCTTTCCGAACTCTCACAGCTTTTATTTGGTGTTCCTCAGGGGAGCGTTCTTGGCCCTCTTAAGTTTTGTGTTTACACATTACCCCTTGGAGCAATTCTGCGTTTTCATATGATAGGTTACCACTTTTATGCAGATGATACTCAGTTGTACACATCTTGTAACATCCATGATCCACCATTGTCTCTGAATACCATTGTTGATTGCATATCAGATCTCAGAGGTTGGCTCATTTCAAACAAATTGAAAATAAATGATGGAAAAATAGAATTTTTAGTCATTACTCAACCCCACAACAAGGGTCTTGCTCACAACTTGCAACTTAAAATTGGAGCTAGTATGGCATTTCCCTCCCCCCATGTAAAAATATTCTTTGACTCTACACTTTCAATGGACAAACAGATCTCCAAAATCACAAGGTCTTGTTTATTCAACATTCGGAATATTGGCACCATAAGGAAATATCTGAATCAATCATCTGCTGCTACTGTTATACACTCATTGGTAACTTACAGGCTAGATTATTGCAATTCTGTATAATATGGATGTCCAGATGATAAGATCAAAAGATTACAACGCATCCGGAATATCTCAGCACGCCGCCTCTATAACCGTTAGACAATTACCTGTATCTTGCCATATTGGAGGAAGACATGAATAACATTTGCTGAACATGTACAAGACCAACAATACGATCCCATGGTATAGCGGTTTTATACTCATTAGTCACATTATAAGTAGACCAGGCATTCTAACTACCCAAGATCTGCTTAATTTTATCACTCTGATTTAGGGGGTGATAGTTCTATTGTCCAGTGTGTGTAGAGCTCTATGTTGCTTTTGTGAATTTTTGTAAGAGCTAATACATCTGATGCTTTTTGTGAACTGAATATTTTAAATGTAGTAACATAGGTTTTAGTCTCTCATAACCCTCAGTAGGGTGGGTTTTACTTTTTACGTGTAAGACAATAAGACATTTTCAGGTGCTTGTATCTATGCACTAATATTGGGTAAAATATAATTATTATCGTGCGAAGTAACAATGTTATTTTAATCAAATATGAAATTATATCATAGTGATGGCTTTAATCCAGCTAAATACCAACAAGTTTAACGGCGATTTTTGGATCAAGGCAATGCGCCATAAATGCCATGGCGGAGGTGTCATCTACAAGTCGCATTTACTCGACCGTACTTTTATCATACCAATATTGCAACATCTTTTGCTTTATAGCAACTGAATACAACGTTACCAGTTTTTGATGTTTTGGTCATACATTTTTGAAACCATTCGATTCATTGCTAACGTGAATTGTTTTATGCACAATTCTGTTCATTTGTAATGGGAACATGTATGTCCCTTTGATTTATGTACAATATTAAGTACGAATTATCTATGTATTTTAGTTGTCCTGATTAAACTGAGTGTTCAGATTTTATTTGTACTCATTATACATATATCATCTGTGTAGATGTGATGCTTCTCTAAAATAATATGTGGATGGTTGTGATTTCAGTTTATCGTAAGCTAGGTTTCTTTTCTATATCTTGTGCAAGTTGCTTGTTAAATGAAGTTGCCTACATGTAGTTTTAAATGTTAACGTATCCCTCACGAAAATGCAGTAGTATCGAAGTAACAAAGAAGCATTAACGCAGTAGTGGTGTGGAGCATATTTGCAGTAAAAATGCAGTATACCCTACTGCAATTCCACTTCAAAAATTACATAGGGTTGTACAGAGGAGGAGCATTAATGCAGTAGATTAGCAGCATGATAGAAGCATGTTTCAAATATGCTAATTAGCCCCCACATCGAAGCAGATTTGAAGCATGTTTGCAGTATGATTGCAGTAGTCTACTGCGCTGGAGTATCTACTTCGTTTTCGTGCGGGATCCAGGAGCTTGTTAATGCACTTGTATTGGATTAGTGTGCAAATATATATATATCACGCACTGTGGCAATGCTATTTTAGACATGAGTGAGATTAGCCGTGTATTTCACAGTGGATTTAATCAAGCTAAACATACTTACCTGTTTGTCGGGTCACATAGATGTTATGGTAACTGTGTTATCTACAAGTCGCTTTTCTCTTTGGTAGTATCGAAGTGCAAATATTGCATTATCTGGTCTAAAATGACAACTGCAGACAATACCACTGGTACCAGTTATTGATATTCTGATCAGCATGTAGCCCTTTATGATATGCCAGTAAGAAGTCAAACAAAATCATTATATATATATATATATACCTAATGAAATAAGGAGAAAAAATTGATTTTGTGTGTCATTTTCCACTTCAAATCAAACTACTTTACATACC